CATTTTTATGCCTTTATGTGATTTATGGGGTAAATATGGTTAAGAGTCAGCACTTTTTGTTCCATTTGCACTGAGAAATAATTTGTATGTATGTGTGTGCGTTTGAACAGATTAAAATATGTAAAGACAGAAAGAAATGAAAAAGTAATCTTAAAAAAAATGTCTTGTGTTTCTTTTTAATTTTTGGCTTTTTCATTTGTGTGTGTGTATATATATATATATATATATATATATATACACACACAAATCGAGCTCCTGCTAAGGAAATATGCTAATCCTCATGAAAAAAACCCAAAAAAACTCAATGCCCAAATGGCAGAGCATTCTTCATATTTTTCATCAATCATTTTTCAGTTTATATTGACCAACCATTACTAATAGTTTCATGCACTTGCATGCAGTCTTCACATAGCAAAAGTACATTTTGTGAAATGAACATTTTATACCCCAATGGCTAACACAAGATGTATACTTTATATATATATATATATATATATACACGCACGCACAAAATGCCAAGACGGAAAAGCTGAAGAATTACCATTAATTAGTGGAGGAGACATCAGAATAAATGAGAAGTGTATCTAAAATATGCTTGGTGACATGGGTTTAAAATATACATTTCACCAAAAATAATTGCTGGCTATTTGAAGATTGCATACAAGTACATGAAGCTAATGGTAGTGGTTGATCAATGTACACTGGAAAATGATTAAAGAAATTAAAAAATTATATCATTTTTAATCTTAATTTCAGTCAATTTATTGCAGCCATTTAATGGAGCAGAAGAACAAATCTAAGCAACAAGACTTTTCCCCTACATACATGAATATATTATTCTACAAGTAAAGCATTGGATCCTCAAAAAAAAAAAAAAAAAAAAGATTCCATCTTATGTGGAGCCAGGAGAAAACTAAAGGAAGATTTACTTGATTAAATGTGATTGGAGAACAAATATTACTGACTTCACCTACCCCCACCCCAAATGTTAATTAGTTACAATGAATCAGCCATAATGAAATGTTTGAAACAGTTTACAATTAAATAAACTAAGTGGGTTAACAGAACCTGGATAATGTCAATCTTGCCACTTAAAATTATTGAGTGGTGGAGTCTGAACATCCCATTCACACAAAAATCTTTATGAAATAAATTGACCAGGAAATTTTACAACTGAAATTCTTGGCTATCAACAAATAGACGTTTGGTTTTCAAAGAATATATTAAGAGTTAGTGAAATTTATGAGTAATCTCACTTAATAATCATTTTGTTGGCATGATGAAAATATAATCAAGTGAATTGAGAGGTAATTTTAAGGTTCAGTGCTTGTTGAGAGAAACCATGTTGCATTGTAGTCATGTGATCAATGAATGAGCATTGTTGCTTTGTTTTGCTTGAATGCACATACAAAATACCTGTTGAGAAATGCTCAATCTCATATTCCAGAATAAGGCATACAAACAATATTTATAGCAGTCCTAAGATTCCATACTTTTGCTTTTTCAGTGAAGTTACAATTCTAAATGAAACTGTTGTTTGAAATTTCATATTAGATAAAACAGTTTCATTATATTTCAAAGAAAATATGAAGAACTTCAACACTTGACCACAATCTGGCTGAAGTTGGAAGATTTCATCGCTTGATAAATTCAAACAATGTGGGTGATTTCATTTCAATCTTTAAATCAAAGTAAAAATAATCCACAGATAGCCAGAAAGATAATCTTCAACTAATCACGACCTAATGGCTGGTGTAGATGTGTTATGGTTCCATAAAGAAAGGATTAAATTTAATCCATTTTTAGAGTCATTTTCAAATTAAATATTGATAGGGAAGAAGAAACCTAATTTGAAAACTCGTCATTGTACTTATGAAATTTATATTGCAAGATGTTTTGATGACAAAATTACTAGTGTTGATTTTACAATCAAGTAAATCTGCAGGTAACAAATTGAAATGGGGTTAACCTTGCTAGCAGGCTTAATCTAAAAAACTGAGCTAGGTGATTTGGATTTTACTAGTAGACTATATCTACTGTAACAAATCCTTTTATTTATTTTTTTTTTATTTTGAGGAAATTTTTTGATCCCCACAGCTACACTATTAATTTCACACTTTTGGCCCATTTTATTAAACCTCCCTGAAAAGTACTGCCCACCTCCAAACTAATCATCTCAACATCAGGGCATGTGGTTTTCTGACTGCCTCTGCCTTTCTATAGGGATGGCTCATCACCCTCTAACGACTCGTTCATAAATGACCCTTCTATTATATAGCCAGGATTTGTGGCTGTTATAAAGGTTTGGAATGAGAAATCAGAGTTGGGTTTGAATTCCAATCAGGTTTGTTACATTCATTTACATGCAAATTCTCTTGGGATGCGGATCAACCTCCTCCACTCCCATTATGGGTTAAATAGGATTTGTATCTGAAAAAAAAAAAAAAAAAAGTTTTGGCTTTAAATAACCCACAAAAAAGAATTATGTAGCCTGAATACATTGAAACTCCCTTCCATCAGGCCAAGTTTCATCCCCAAAGTTTATATTTGTTTCACTTTCCTTCTCTCTACTTCTAGACATTCTCTGAAGATCTAGCCTATATGGGCATAAAACACCAAACTTTTCAATCCCAGATAAAATAATTTAGAACTCACTTTGTAAGTCTTCTAATCCTAGCTGATCCCATTGATTGCTATATGAAGATTAAGAAAATATCCTAATAATATCTGTTCGACTGTTTTGAAAGTGTGACTTTTAGAGTTTAATATTTCAAATGAATTAAAAGATATATAATCTTGCAATCAGTTTTGTTTTTTTATATTCAAATATAGAAATATCTTTGGAGTAACAAGATTATATATTTTTGAACAAAATTGCTCTCAAATACCAAGTATTTTGGTCAAACAATTTGTAAACTTGTAAAATGTGTGCCTTCCAGATAGAAAAATTTCCCAAGGTATTTGTTTAGAATGACTTTATTTCCAACAGTCTTGAACTTCAGTAGAAATATAATAATCTTTAATTTAATAGCCAAACATTAAGTTTTTGTTTTTTTAGTTTTTTTTCTGCAAACCAAACACAAAAACTGAAAACTCATCCATAAAATAACTGAGCAAGTGGTGCATATCCAATACCTACCAAATACTTTTTAAAGTATCTTAACTTGCCCATCCTCTGTTGTTGATCCATACTTGTAAAATCTGTAATATCAAATAAGTATAATATTGTAGTTAATGTTTGCATGTATGCCTTTTTTTAATTTTTAAAACCTCTGATACATTTAAAAAAAATTTTAACAAATTTCAGTAGTAAAATTTTAACAAATTTCAGTAGTAAAATTTGAAACTCTTCTTAAAGCAGGCTTTTTAAACAAGTGTTTTTGATGGTGCACTTATATTCTGTAACTAAGCAAAACTGGTGAATATAACAGAAATAAGACAGACAGATACCATTAATTAACCTGTTTAACCTAACTATTCTTGTAGGACCACATATTGTTGTTATACGTCATCAGCCACTCCACAATACTCTGCTATTTCCTGCAAATTGTTTTGAATCTCTGTATGATTCAGTGCCAGAGAACAGAATTTTCTCTGGAGATATTTCAACCAAAATAATTTAATCTCAACATACAAATTAATTAATTCAATTGAGATAATTCAGTGATAATAAATTTAATATAAATTTTTGATAAGCAATGCTGGTTTCATAGTGTTCCTTTTTTATCTAGTGCTATAGAAAATTAATCTTGTGCTAAACTTTGCAAGCTACCACATTTATATAAATCATTTTATGTTTATTTGACATCATAAACTCAGTACCATCTAAATAATTTACAAAAAAGATTTTTTGATTTTAAACATTATTTGATATTTTCCAATTACTTTAATTGGGATGTCAGAGTTTTTGTCAGTATGCAATAAACTGGTGGATGTTAGTAAAAGTTGGCTCATAGAATCATTTAAACAGCAAGAAAATCAATTAATAAACAGTGTGAACTTAAGCTCATTGCCTTGATGGCAGAAAATTTCTTAAAAAGAAATTAGGCATGTAAAAGGTCAACATTTAGAAATGAAACATCACCACAACTACCACTGTATAGTCTGAAAATATTTCTTCATTTCAATATCAATCATAGTTGTCTTTTTATTCTTAAAGAAAAAAAATGAAGTGAGATTCTGTGAGTTTTTGCTCTGTGACATTTCATTAGGGTCTGATTTTGAAAAATGCATCAAAATTGCCAGTGACTAAATGCTGGCTGTATTGAGTATTTATTTGCCTTTATGGCATGAATTTTTTTTTTCCTTATCTGTGGAATCATCAGTGGATATGTGGGTAATAAAGAATAGTAGATTTTAAAAAATGCTACACATGGTAGCTACAATTAATTTATATAATTATTTATTAAAAATGTTTATTTAGAATAATGGCTCCCTTCAAAATATTGCCCTTGAAACCTTACAAAATTTCCACAGCTTTTCAATAAACTATTAACTGATTTATGTTCTTTAATCACATCTACAGTAATGCAATGGGGATTTTATATTTGAGAGCTAAATCTTGTGGGGATATGGCATTTTGTCAAAATATACCCTGCACTCAGTACTCAACAAGCTCACTCAATTGCATCTCATTTGCTGAATGAATAACCCTCTTGGGTGGTAGGTGGTGGGAAGTGGCTGTTCATGCATGTGCAGTCGCCTCTGATTGGTCAAGATTCATCAAGAATGTGAAATCAGTTCTTGAAATATTCAAAATGGAAGAAAAGATAAGATTTCAGCTTGCAAACCAAATTTTGTTTTTCTTGCCTGCAGAGGAAGTTGTGGGGAATCAGGACTTGTTTTTTATTAGGCTTAATTAAATTCTGATGTTTATGTCAGCTCAATTACTGCAATAAGGATTTTAAAAGAGAAACCAGTAAGATTAGGGGCCATTAAAATAAAAACAACATTCACATCTTGGACGCACCTGATATTTCAATTTTTCAGTTCCATCATTTTCATATAAGAGACAGAAAATACGGTATATGAGCCAAGAAGTTGGTTTTTCTAATGCTGTCAGTATCTGTCTGTAATAAAAGAAAAAATATACTCAAGTTGATTACTACAACTTTTCTCAATATTTCAATTCTGAAAAGAACAGAAATTTAAAAAAATCTCAAAGACAGTATAGACTACTGTCTTGAGATTTTTTAAAATTTCTGTTCCTGGTTTTCTTTTCACAGAAAAATAAAAAATTGGCTCATACATTTCAACGTGAACTGATTTAATATAAAATTGGTTCATGCATTCATTTTCTAAAGCTTATCAACTCTGCAAGTTATTTAAATTTCGGAGCTGATTTAGAGATGCAAATCTTGCTAATTAACCCATAGCTGGGGGAGAAATGGATTCTATCTTTCCCAACTGGAATTGGAACTCTGCTCTCCAATTAACAATCCTGAGCTATTATACATTTCACTACCTAAACATCCCAGTTTACAGCACTTGGTATTCCCAAGCAGTCACCCATCTAGGTACTGACCAGGCATGATGTTGCTTAACTTTGATGATCATATGGAAATCCATGTTTCATCACAATATGGCAGTAAGCCTGATATCATTTAAAATGTTGGAAAATCAATTAATGGGTCAAAAAGTGCAAAATTAATAAATGATGTGGGTTTTAATAAACTTGGTGTGGGGTTGGAAAATTTCCTCAGAAATATAAAACCAATGAGTGGACATCTATACATTTGCATGCAACTGCCCTCTGTGCTATATTACAAAAGAAACCCACAACAAAGGTCATTATTACACAGATCTACAATGATCATGGTAATGTGTAGGTAGCACAATGGTTATCAGTGTGAAAATTGGAATCTGCAAGCTAAATTCAAATTCCAAACTTTCACACAAATATTCACTTTCATACAAATGCCCTTGGGAAAGGCAGGAGTTCATCTCCTTATTGCATAGCTATGGGTTAAAAGCAGAGTAGACTGCGCTTTCTAGCTTTAGGTAACCGGTTTAAGAGAAGGATAACTGAATTTAAAAACTGACAGACATTCATATAGATGTCATGCATGGCACCAAACATGTTCAGAAATATCTAAATTGTCAGCTGTATATGACTGCTTTGTAAGATCAATTTTTAAAAATGGCTGTCAGTGAGTGAAACCTGTGGGTCTTGGCAAAGACCATCCTTCTTCAAAGGATTGTGGACTGGCACTAAAGAACAGAATCCACATGACTTGAGAACTTTCAAAAACAGCATCAACATGGATATCACATGTAACTCAGAGAAAATAAGGACATAATCAAGAGGCAATACTGCAAAGAGTCATAACAGCTACTGAACTTGAGAAATCTATTTTCCTGAAAATTTCAAAATTTTAACTGAAAACATCAGTGGCTGCTTGGTCAATGAATGTTGATGTTTTTTGTTTTTGTTTTTTCTTCTTAAACCTGTATCACCCCATGCAAGGCAGTAAATCCACCAGGGGTTTACAGAGTGTGGAAGAATTAGGAACAGAAACAGTAATAATGAGCAGGAAGAGGAAAGAATTATCAGGAGGACAGTAGATAGTGATTGACATTGTTTTTAAAATTTTGAAGTTTAAAGTTGGCTGGAAAGCATGGAGTGAGAAATGTGAAAAAAGAAACTTAGCATAGAATTTATGGTCACATCTAACCATCTTGACTGTAAACTGAGGAGATCTTGACACCAGTCTAGTACTGCGCTTAAATTCAAAAAGTCTAGGTACCATAGCAAAAGAAAGTATTTATAGAAAATGCACAACCTTATGGCAGTAGGAAATGACTGGAGCCAAGACACCACATCAGGACTGATAATATTGCTGATTCTTCTTTGGATCTTCTCAATGAGCTCAAAGTAAATAGCAGGGGCACTGGAACATACGTGGGAGCAATATTCTAAGCATGGACAAATGGTAAACATAGTTATGTAAGATAGATTCTGGAGAGAAAAATTGTCTAGCATGACACAGTGAACCAACTTTCTTATCAGCTGACCTAGCAATGGATTCAATATAGTCTTTCCACTTTGTGTTAGCTGAGAAATCATAACAAGTAACTTTCCTGGAAACCAGAGAGGGTCTCTTAGATGATTAATGGAGAGAAGTGTCTGCTAGTGTATCTGGGGATTGCCTTTTTCAAGATTTATTGATTAAAATGTTGATACCACTAGAAAAATTTGAGTTGCTATGACAACTCAAATTTTTATAGATTAACATTCATGCAATATATTTGAATTCACATTTACCTAGTTGATTACTTACCAATGTAATATTGGAAAGAACTTGGTTCCATGAAGCTTTGTTAGTTAGTAAGTTCTGTTTTGTATGTTTTGAGAGTAAGGCACACAAGGCATCCAAGGAAAGATTCCCTTTGAAACTTGGATCTGCATACTGAAAATCTGTCTGAAATGTAAAGATAGCATTAAAAGATTTTCAATTTCTGTAACTTAATGATGAGTGTAAAAAAATACTGGTCAAGAAAAACACTGGAGAGTTAGTTATCTGAAAAAATATCATGTATGCTAGGCTATGAGGATCTCTTTCATAGGCCAAGTATAGAAATACAATATGGGAGACAGTAATTAAGAAAGAAAGACAAATGACAGCAAGTCTTCAAAGGCAGCAGCACTAATCAGCAGGTAGGTTAGGTTTAAAGCTCCAAGTTCACCATAGAGAATTGTCCTACTGGGTTAAAAGCATTGGTTTGTGAATTTGTTGACATAGGAGCCATGAGTTCAATCTCTGGGCCAGTACTTGGACTCAGTGGGCAAGCAGTAGTAAAAATAGACTTGACAAGATATCCTTAGCCATGGGTAGTGGAATAACAACAATCTACCCCCATTGGTTAAATAAAGGGCTCAGTTCAGAATTCCCTGTAGGTTACCTAGATTGATATACACCTGAGGAAGGCTGGAAGTCACAGAAACTGAAATACGATGAGGACAATAGTCCAAATGTAAATAGTGTAAAAAAAAAAAAATGATTATCATTTGAGAATATTGATCTTTGTGTTGCTTTCATTACAATCCTAACATTTTAGCTGATTCCTCCATTAAAACTTAAATGGTAGGAAAAGGTTGCATGATGCTAATTAGATAAACAAATGAGAAAGTTCATGCTTATTTTTGCTTTAATTACATAAAATATCATTTGTATAGTTTTTGTAACATTTTTAGATTATAGAAATAAAACAAATGTTATTTTACTAAATTGTTGAAATATCACTTTTTGCAGTATTGTCATCATCTGACTCGAGTTAAAGAAACATCAGAATAATTTTCCTCTTCAATACTGTCTAAATCTTCCATTATTAACATTATATCTTTCACTGACAAGGGTGGATGCCTGAACATTAACTTCATCAAATTTTTCTAAATATATTTAGAAAAATTTGATGAATTTAATATTCAGGCATCCATATTGAACCTGATACATGTGTGGATGCTAGTTGAAGTGTAAATAATAACTTCATGAAACCTAGAATTGCCAATTAGTCATTTAGATTCAAATTATGAATGAATTATATTCATATCATTGGAAAAATAAAAGCCATTGATTGATGATATCTGTTAATCTCTAGTTGATGATGACACCCATTTAAGAGTTAAATGTATAACCCATAAAGAAACACATCCATGATTAAAAAACACCCTTGATGGCGACTGTAGAATAAATAAGCCAAAAATATTATATGGTAACAAAAACAAGTACAATAGTCAGGACAGAATAACAATTGTAAACCAGTTTCAAGATCTCAGTTCAATGGATTTTTCTTTTATCAATATCACCCCATGCAAGGCAGTAAAGCCACCAAGACACAAGATGTGAAAGAATTGGGAACAGAAACATTAATAATGAGTGGGACAAGAAAAGAGTGATCAGGAGACAGTACATAGCAACTGACATTGCATTTAAATTTTTGCAAATTAAACTTGGCTGGAATTTATGGTTACTTTCATTCATATCTTCCAGGCTTGTAAATAAGAATTCAACTATTTAAAAAAAAAATATAGCATCTATTTCAACTAATTGACTGTCTTGTTAAAATGTAAAAAAATTTAAAGAAAATATTAAATTGAGTTTATATTCTTTTAAATGAGTTTAACATATAAAAAAAAGATATAGACATTAGAATTGCAATGTTATGAACAGCACTGTCATAAATGAATACTATCTGGAAGTCAAAGATGAAAAGGAAGTCTGAAGTGCAATTCTTTAGGTCATCAATAGAAAAGGTCCTTTTATATGTGTCAAGCAGTTGGACATTTACAAAGTCACTGGCAAAAAAAAAAAATAATACATACACTTGACAGTTGAGAGCAGCACTAAATGTTAGTTTGAAACAACATATGACCAAAGAAGAAAAGTAAGGAAACATACTAAAGACACAATGTGTGAATGGTGAGTGTGGTTGGGTGTCTATTGTTAGAGAAGTAAACAAGAGTACATTTGCAAAACCACTCAAGCAAAATTTGACAAAGTTGAAATTAAGAGACCATGTATACAGGAACTTTTTTTTTTTAACAATGATGTTCAGCCTGTACAAGGCCCAAGAGCCATTCAAGTTGAGAGTTAGAGAGTAAGAGGCACAATCCCAAGCAATTTGATAATATCACCAAAATGCAAGAGGCTACAAAAAATGAAAAAGAATGAAAAGACTTCAGATGGAACCAGAAACCCTATCCTAAACAGGAAACAAGTACTCTACTCTTGTTCAAGAGTCTTAGGATTAATGTGAACCGGATGATAGGCAAATCCTATTGATGGAGAAAAATCTAAATAAATAATAAATAAAGTTTCAAAGTTTTAGGAGTATAAAGTTGAAGTAGACTTTAAAAGGAACCAGAAATTAAATCCTAATAAGGAAACAAAGGAGGGACAAAAATTGCTCAAACTTCAGTATTTCTCCTTTTGGGGATGATTCAGGGGCCAGGTATTAAGCCTGACTCTTAAAAAAAGAGGTATTTCCTGAAAGGATGAGCCTGTAGTGATAGCAACAAATGAATTACTAAATAACCCCCTAAACCCTATTACTAGACTATGTAATAGTCTAGAAACAAAATAATTAAAATAAAAGAAAAATTAAAAGTTAAGCAATAAAAATACATTTTTTCTGTAGACATATATTATTTAAAATATAATTTCTCTGAAATGTATACTAAAGTATTTTATCAGTTTTGTCTATGCTTATTTCATTGTATCTCATATATGATTTTGTTTGTAATTTTATAATCCTGTTGTGAACTGATGATGCCCTAAAAATACATATATATAAAAAAAAGTACATTCATACAAGGCAAAAGCATCACCAGAACGTCCCAGAATAGTCTCCTTGAAACTTAAGCACATAAGTAAGAAGTTGTACATCAGCTTATACTTTGGGAATTTATGAGAAAATATCAAGAAGTAGAATAACAAAAACTTTTATTGCAACTCGGACAACATCAGAATCAAAAAGAACTGAGTAGAGCTATGAATAAGAAAATAGTTGAAAAGACAGAAAAGTCAAAAGTGTTCATTTGATGATGATTAGATGGATGTAGATTAGGAAAAATAAATAAGAAATAATTACAAAAGCAAAAGCTGAACTTCATATCTCAAAAGCAATTTTATCCAAATATTTTAGATTTACTCATTTTATAAATGATAAAATCAACAAAGTGATACTGACTTATGTGATACAATTAATGTTTGTTTTTTAATGATCTCTCAGAAATATGTATTCCTTTGACATCACAGAATACCAATGAAGAAGACAAACTGAACAGCCTTCTGACAAAGAGTGGCATACAGATTCAGATTGTTAATCTGAGAAGGTGCAGAAAAGTTCTCATCCCAACCAAACTGGGGTTACAAAAGAAATTCTGATATTTTGTCAGATTCTGGTAAGAAACCAAGCCAAGAACTTTTCAGCAATGCCTTATTTATTATTATTATTATATATATTTTTTTTTTGAGTGGATAAAGTTTATTTGTCTTTGTGAAGACCACAATATTTGAACCTTGTTGACTGGTACTACAGAATCCCAAAGATCTGTACCAAATAACAGAAAACACATCACTTAAGAAACTTTTGACAAGAGAAACAACTAAAATGTGACTCAAGGAGAAAATAATAACATAATCTAGATGTTGACATTCCACACTACTTCAAATAAAAAGTTCAGAAGAAAATCCCCAGCAATACGTGCAATAACAGCAACTTTTATTTCAACTGACAAGCTGTTTGTTCAATAAATGTTTCCTCATAAGGAAACAGCTAAACATGATCTTTAACAGAACATTATCCAGAAAAACTAGCCATGGCTTGAAGCAAATAATGTCAACAAAACTGTAGCTGAGAGAATATTTCAAGTAAAAGGAGTATACTCATTTTACACTACAATAAATTCATCTCTCTAAAAAGAGGTGAATTTATTACACTGTAAAATGACTTGTTTAATAACAAGATAAAAATCTTGTTATGAAACAAATGAATGGTTGTTCACAAACTGACCTTCAGGGTGCAACTTCTTTAGAGCAGCAAGCAATTTCATCAAAAAAATAAAGAGCTCTGTTGTGACATTAACCTTATGAAGGTTGTAGAACAGACCAGCTGAAAGAAAGACTATACCAAAATGAGATTTTACTTACCAAATATTCAGAAATAGAATCATTTAATGTATCAAAATTCAAAAGATTATATGCTTCCAAGGCTGGCCCACTGGAAAGAGAACAAAAATAAGGGAAAATTTGATAAAATTATAAGGAAGCAGGCAATGCTGATTAAATAAAAAAATGAATCTTCATTATTTTTATTTTGTTTCATCAGTTTCTCTTGGTCAGTTTCTGTCATTGCTCCCACCCCTGGTCCAACATTCAAATTCTAGATTCACCCTCTAAGGTGTTTTATTTTTATTTATTTGTTTTTGTTTAGCAGCATATTGGGTTATTTAATATCAAAATCTAAATATTTTGTATATAACTTTTTCTTGTGATAATGGTAGTTTTAGTTATACAAGTCTAACTGGGAGGAGAAGTAGTGAATTCATACCTTTCCCAAGAATAATTTGCATATAAGTGAGCATAACAAAACTAGCTGGAATTGGAAATTGATTAAAAGTTCCAAGCCATTATCATTACCTACACATCCAAGCTTACAGAACCTGTTATTCCCAAGCGGTCAACCATCTGAGCAGGTTTGAATGTTGCTTAACTTGGGTGATTATATGGGAACCAGTGTTTCAACATGATGTGACTGTAAGATGTTTAGATACTGCCTAAATCATCTCTGGGGCAGTTGTTTAACTATGCAAAATCAATGGAAAAATCAATGGTCTTCTGAGAATGCAATGCCACCACTGACTTGTTCTTAGCTTAAATTCATTAATTTTAATATCATGTCTCTTCAGAATGTAGATGGTCATGGCTCTCCCTAGCTACCTTTCTCTTTGATATCTGTGAATTCTTTGGAAAAGATAGTGAAGTGTTTCCTCATTGCTTTCTCCATTGTTTTTGAATTCAGTGTTGTCATTCTCCTAGACTGGCTGTCACCCAAGGCTAAAGATCCTAGTTTATTCTGCTATTTAACCTATAGATAAGAGAAACTGGTGTCTTTCCCAAGAGCATATGTATGAAAGTGAATGTGTCAGACTAGATAGGATTTTGAACTCAGATTCCTAACTCCACTTTTGGTTACATTGCCAACACAGATAACTAAAAATTACGGAATTGCCTTTTTAAAGTGTTACTTACCTCAAGGATTCAATATTTTTTGTCAGCTGAGTCATTCCCCAAAATTCAGAAATTCCAAAAAACGTACTCTGGGATGTTATGTTATAAACCTTCAAGGGAAATATTAAATAAATGAAAATGAATAAACAAAAATCAAAATATTCAAAGAAAGTTTCAATAAAAATCATTTTCAGGCTTATAGTTTCCATTGTAGAAATAACGATCATATGTGCATACACCTTACTGCAATTTAGTTTTTAGAACTAATTCTAAATAAATAAAAAATCTTAATATCAAATTTAATCTCTTATTATTTTACAACTAGTTTTATGCCATCTTATTACTACTTTTTATAGCAACACTTTCTCATGGTATGATCTGTCTTATTGCTATTATTTTATTTTTTAGTTATAATTGTTGCCTTTTACCACAACAATCTGGGTCAATACATTTTCAACTTTTTCTATGTCATGTAGTTTGTATTAGAAGTTTGAAATAGTTTGTCTTATCAAAATGTATTTATTTCCAATTTTCATATTACTCTAGCAGTCAACCAAAAATTTTAAAAATCAAATTTAAATGTTAGCTTTTTTTTGTTCAGTTTTTCACATACTGAAAAATTCCAAAGTTTTTTTCTGAAAAAATAAGATAAAATGCAATGTGATTGGGCCTGATCTCTTTAGTAAGGAGATATTCTGTTGTTACATTAACAGGAGGCAATATTACATCATATTACATAAACATGTTAATAAATGTGTTAGTAAGAGAGAATTTTATGATAGTAATATGTTGGGTTTTATTATTTGTTAGATTTCTTTGTTTATGTTTACTCTTAAAGATTTAAAGAATAATTTTTTTTTCTTACATTACAAATGCAATTTCAAACTTATAGCCTGTTATTTTTGATAACTCAGGTAAACTACTACAATTAGTGGTAGTAGAAATAATAATACTAACAATAACTTTTAAAAGGACTCAACTTCACTATGACAGAAATAGATAATATTCAACCAACAAATGCCACTAAAATCATAAAAATGGCTGCTAAAATAAAAGGGTTAAACAAATGAAAAAAAATGTGAAACAAAACCCTTGGAGTATATATTGAACACTCTGAATTAAAAAGGATATGTAGATAAAGACAAAACCCATCAGTGACTGAAGAGTGAAAAGCTAAAAGAGGTATTTATAATGACTGCACAAAGACCAAAGCCTATTTAACAGGAATTACAAAGCAAACATGAATGGTGCATACATAATATGCAGTGAATAATTTAAACAACATGTTGAGGCTATTGACTATTGGTTAAAACTAAACAAATTGAAAAATCAGATGGACAGTATATATTAACTAGAAGATATATCAAAATTACAGAATGCCACATGCCAAAAAATTGTATGAATATCTCCGAAACATTCATAGAAGGCCATGAAGTCATTATTCTTTGGTACTTTACCATTCATCCTAATATATAAAAGCTAATAGACCAGACAGTTATTAAAGACTAAAAACATAAAAGAAAATGCCTTCTTGTAGATATGGCAGTGCCATCAGATAAAGATATGTGCAAAATCTATTCCGCACATCATCTGGAGTGAGACACATAGTAGAGTTTACTTGATTTTATTATGTTTAGTACAAGACTCTTATTTATGTAGCACTCAGTAAGAAAAGGTTGACTGGTTTGTTTGTTTAACAGCCTATCAACTCCTTATATGTCATTTAATGCTAAAAAAATTATTGGGAGCTTTGGTAATTATTTTTACTTTTAAAATCTATTTCTGTTATTTGTGCTATTTGCCCATATCTGTGAGCCTAACAGCTTTTACCACCCCAGTGGTCAGTGTAGACCTGGGAACAACAACAATTAAAAGGTCAGTGACAAAGGAACTCTCACTTGCAATGGTGAAATATAATTTCTTTGATATTTAACATTATTTAGCTTACTTTATTTATGTATAGACTTTTTTAAATAATAAAATTCACCTAATACAAGGCTTAAGAGTCACTCAAGGTTTACTGTTAAAATGGTAATGATGAATAAGGTGTGCAATATGAATGAAAGAGGTGGTGGAAGTATAAGAATAAAGAGGATAATGTAAAGAAAAAGTAAATCTCATGAAAATCAATTTCTTTTTCAGGTTGTTAAGATCTCACCTCTTTAATGAATTTTTCTTGATTTATTGAAAACTTTTCTGGAAGCAAAGATTTCAGCTGGCTGTAGAGGAGGTGACTGAAAAAATATAATTAAGAAACAGTAAAGAATAATGTAAATTTTTAAAATTTTGTTTAGCAGCATATCAACACCTCTAATACCAAAATCTAAATATTCAACTATAGATAAAATGTATTGTTGCTCATTTTGCTAGAAAATTTACTTTTGGTAATTCTACTATAAGTATGTATCATTGGTAATTTTTTTTTATATAAAGATGTATTGCTGGAATTTTTACTATAACAATATATTTTTATACTTCCATAGTGTTTGGGGTTCACTATTTTTCCCTAACAGGTGCTACCAATCCGGGTCAGAGTGGACCTGGGAACAACAGCAATTAAGAGGTCATTCCACAATACTCAAAACCTCCAATCGCCTTGCTGCCAAATGTAGTTTATCATCTAGGACTAGAAAAATATAAAATTAAAGGATTAATCCAGAATAATTGCTTGGTACAAGATGTTTTCTAGTGTAGTATGTGACACTCAGAAAATCCTGGTGCATCAGCATGTAGCAACTGTCTCCCAAACATGTAAACCTACTTTTGCTTAGGATGAGCAAATGTAGAAGAAACTGGATGATATAAGCACCCACCTAAGAGGGAAAACAGACAGAGTCTCTTACATCCTTATGAGAATGTAGAATCCACATCTGGTGAAAATTCCAAAGCTACATACCCACTCACTAACAGTATTTGACAATAAACAATAATTTTAAATATTGTGGTTTTATTAGTCTGTACAGTGATAACATTAAACTAGTACTAGAGAGGGAACAAGACCAATTTACATCTCTGTGGATTAAGAAAAATAAGAGTTCAATCAAATGCAACAAGCATCTGAAGAAAGCTACTCAGAAACTCAGCTTAAAACTATTATTATTATCATGGATTTGGTTGGTGTGGTAAGGTATATCAATATGGAAATTGAAATCAGCAATCAGAGTTCAAATTCCAGGCTAATCTGTTGCTTTCACTTTTACACAAATGTTTTGGGAAAGGCATAAATCCTTCTCTTCTTCCTCCAGCTATGAGCTAAACAGTAGCATAGACTGGGTTCTGTGTATTATAGGTCCAGAATAGATATTATATGCAATTCCCACCAGACCATCAAAAATAGCAGGGAGTTGACCTGAGTTCAGTCCCAGCTACCAAATAGAAAAGTACAAAATTTCTCAGTTTTCAGGTATGGGAAATATATGTGATACAAGCAGTTATATAGTTGACCCAAGGAGAAAAAGTGGGTAGTCTTTCACATGTCACAGATGGAAAATGTAAGACCCATATTTCAGATGAGGGCCCTAGGAGGCTGCACCCACACACTGGCTGTAGTGAATAAAAAGTAATGTTAAGTAATGAGAATTTGAGTCTCATGCCAGCATAGCCATTTCATTATATCTAGCCATGGGTGGCAACCAGCCTAGGAGAAGGACAATTCTGAATTCAAAACCAGTTAGAAAAGAGATGGGCTCCATCAGGCTATTTTGCTCTAGACACACCAACTGCAAATATTTATTTGCACATTTTGTCAGGTAGCTAAATTATGGTAATTGAAATACAGTAAAAAAAGAAGAAAAATGTCTGCTTTGCACAGTTTTATGTCACTGTTGGACAGGATGAGGCTTCAGTCAGCCTCATTTTTTTTATCTAGCAAATCTACAAGTTTTTACTTCAAACTTTCAATTAAAAAAAAAAAAAATTAAAACCTTATATTTTTGATTACAGACTATATGAATGATTTGGGTTTTTTTTATGGTTTATCAACCTTTTACAAGTTATTTAAAACCAGAAAATATTTTTAGATTTTAAGAATTTTTTGAAGATAATGTTTTACTGTAGAAACATTTTGGAAAACAAATCAACAACTGAGGAGAAGAGGTGGATTTATACCTTTCCAAAGTAAATGTATATAAGAAACCTGACTGGAATTAGAACTTGGCTCTCTGATTTCCAATTCTGAGCCATTATCCATTACACCACCCACATATTCAAAATTACAGTACTTGGTATTCCCAAGCAGTTACTGACTAGGCTCGATGTTGCTTAACTTCAGTGATCATATGAGAACCAGTGTTTTTCATGTGATATAGCCATAAGCTCTACAGACTATACAAATATGTCCAAATCGCATACTTTATGACCACTATATAAAAGTTGATGTGCCATTTAACAACATTTGTTCATCTATAATACCAATAAGTTGACATTAAACTTTCCTCCAATGATATTACTTAACTGTATCAGATGTGAATGCTTTTTTTTATTGCAGCCAGATGAAAAAAAAAATAAAAAAATTGGATTTTGATTTGTTTTCCAAAATGTTTCTACATTTTATTTTTTCATAAAAAGACAACAAATAATTTTGTATCTCTTTGCTGATCTCAAGTTGCCAAAATCTTTTCTGCTACCAATAAAAAATCATCTGACTGAAAGTGAAGAACTCTTTTTTTCATGAAATCCAAAACTCATACTTACCCATCCTTATCTGAATCAAGTTTATTAAATGTCTCCTTTAAAATGTCTTGTTCAGATGAAGGCACATTTTCCAATGGTGTTGCCTGTAAATCATAGAAAAAGAAAGATTGCAAATGGAGGAAAAAAAAATTGTCACTTTTTTTCCAAATATAAAATTACAAGTAAAGTAATTACGAGTTTTTGTGAGACAATTTTAGGTTTTTGTTTACTGTGAAAAAGTGAAGTAGAACAGAGGTACATTGAAAAAAAAATTAAAACAAAGTTTCACAAATATTTGATACAAATAGTGTAAAAAAGTGTTATAATGTAAAAAGTTTTCTCTGGGAATGTAAAGCCAAAAAATTGTCAAAAACAAATGATTTAGTGTGAAAATGCAAATTAAGTTTTTTTTACAGTGAAAGTATCAAGAGGAATTCTGTAAATGGTTTACAAAAGAACAACTTTTATAATAAATTGTACAGAACAAATATTGTATATAATTTCAAGCAGGTCTTAGTGAAAACAACAAACAAGATTTCTTTTGCCTTTTTTTCATTTAGTGATTTTCTTCCTATTTTTATATAAGGCAGAGGTTTCCAAACTTTTTCAACCATTGAACCCTTCATGGAATTCTTCATCTCTTGCCAACTCACCAGATATATATATATATATAAAAAAAAAAATTGTAATTAGTTTTTTTATTTCTTTTCCTTCATCATTGTTTGCTTGATAAGATTCAACTTAGCTTTACATTTTGTTTTTCATTTATCACTTTCTATTTTTTTTTTTCCTATACGAGATACATTTGCATGAATACAATATAATAATTATCAATGTATATTTATTTATATATTTCCTGGAAGGGAGGTAAATCAACTTAAGTTAGTAAATTCATGAGTGATCACTTCACTTAGTTGTTTTAATAATCAATAGAAATAAAATATTAGTTCCTGAGTAAAATGAACCAGTTAATTAATCAGTTCTTTTATTCCTACGTTTCTTAGATTGCAGTCTTATTTGTTCAAGCATTTCATGTGAGGCATTCAAATACCTAGGTCTATTAAGAGATAATCTTGCTTCAACTTGGTCTTGAAATAGGCTTTTACCATCTAAAGATATTGAGCAAAAAGAGATTTATGTAACACCAGGAGTAATCAATGAATGATTGATAATATTGAAGGTCTAAAAAATATAAGGGGAATGGATTAATTCAAACTTCATAAATAATTTAAGTAATAATAGACACATTAAAAACAAATTAATATAGCCTTTTATTGTATTGTTTGACATCATTAATGAGAAACATGTGTTTGATGTGCATTGATATTTGGTTGGAAATTCTGAGTTTTAGAGGTATGACTACCATGATTTATTTATTGACCCCCTTTTTCACATCCCAGGTATTTGTTGACCCTCTGGATAGTGCCATTGACCACTAACAAGTTTATTATTGTTGTATTTGATTGTAATAAAGCAAGTCTATTGTTGCTGTCATAGTTAAGTTTGTTGTTTATTTCCTTTAAGGTTAATTTTATCTTTTCATCAACAACATATTTTGGAAAGCAATTGGTAATTAGTGCCTATTTTGCTGAACTCTTTATAAAATAGTGTGTAAAAGGAGGAAATTAGGTGACTCCTGTTGATCAAACTGCAATAGTTTTCATATATGTTGGCAAAAGGTTATCAGTTGTCTGAGAAAACATTTTGTGCTTTTGATCAGCATGGCTGATGCTAACCTCCAGGAGAGTCCCTTCTTCTGTTGATGTTTTCCAGAAGGGATGTTCAGTTTGATATTTGGTGTGGAAGGGAGAAATATATATACACATATTTTTCTATTATCTATTGTTTCCTTTACTGAGAGATTAATGAAAAAAACCTTCAACATTTAGGAAAGCAAATATGCCATTGTTTACATTTGAGTGCAGAATTTGTTGTATATTTTAGACAGTTATTAAACTAGAGTAGAATTTCAAAAATAATAAACCTTATTATAAAAATAGCCATGTTATATTTTTAATTTCATGAATGTTATTTCTGATTTGGGAAGTGTGTGTGCAAAGTGAAGGACCTAAATATGAACTACAAAGAAACTGCAGCTCATTATTAAGATACATCCAAAATTTCAGGACACATAAAGAAACAGGCAGTATTTACACAGAGCAACAAAAGACACAAAGTTACAGAATGCCATAACTGCCTACAATGTGAAGGGACATTTCAAAGTTGTTGTCAACAATGCTTTGAAAGTTTATGATATCTTTAATGGAGCCATGTTTTTGCAACATTTTTTTAAACCAAGATATTATTCAACAAACCATAAAAAAGATGACAAATATTTGAAAACAAAAATAAAATAAAAATCTTTCAACCTAATGTATTAAATATATTCAATAATAAAAACACAGGCTCAAACATCATGATACTTTAAACATCTAAGTGGTCTGCATATGATGCCATCAATAAGAAAATATTATTTAAATGTATAATGTTCTAAATACCAAATGCCATGATAGTAAAACCAATACATTAAAATGTTTGAATGACTAATGATGGTTGAAACATTCATTGGGAAAATTTTTCTACACTGGAACCAAAAATGTTACTGTTTACAAAAATAGGATAAAATCACAAAGAAAATTATCAGAATTAACCTTGTCAGTGGCCTTTCATAAAATCTGCTGAAATGAAAAACTGTTGTCAGTATTATATATATATATATATATATATATATATGGTAAAAGCTATAATCTAAAACTATATCTTATGTGGGTAAAAATAAAACTCAACACTGCATGGTGACTGGTAGTTTTAAGCCTTAAATGATCATCAGACTACTATATATATATATACACACACACACACACACGTAAAATTTCAGATAGAGTATATCTGTAAAAGGACAATATGAAAAAAATTTTTTCCGTTCCTTTTATTGATATATATATATATATATATATATATATATATATATATATATATATGTTTTAAGGTATGTTATCTTTATGTGTTAAAAGTTCTTGATGTCAGATATAGAGAGTATGTAAAGACAGAATTGGATATTGAGGTCAACACCCAGCAGCAACAGTTTGTTTCATGCTTAAACATAATTGTCAGGTCATATATATATATATATATATATATATATATATATATATATATATATACACACACACACACAGATACATTAAATACAGTATGTATATTATTAAATACACTCATATAACAGACTTGTGTGTGTGTGATGTATATACACCCATTTCAAATACACACACACAAATATACACAACTGTAACATGGTCAAAAAGCACACATATATCAATATATATCTCAAATATCTCACACTTTCTATAAGCTGCCAAAGATAGCCTATATGTAAGTGAATTTTCTTGATTTCTGGTGTAATGGAGCCAGCAAAGATAGTGACAAAGGTAGGAATTTCAAACAAAGACAAAAGAAAAATGTTAACATGTTTGTGTAAATAGTGTTTTTGTTCTCAACAACTAACATGCAGAAATTCATATAAAGATTACACTCTGCTTTCATTTCTAATTCCATCTTACTGTTAATGGCTTTAGATTATTTCCAGTCAGATGATTTTGGTAATTGTCTTGGTTTTGATTACAGGAACCAATATTTTTGGCATCTTCTGCTTTGTCTTCAACTGCTGCTGTAATTTCTGATGTCCATTCCTCATTTTCCTTTTCCTCTTCTTTTTCTTGCAACCCATCAAATTCCTTTGTTTTTGAAATCTTTTCCTCTCTGTTTCTGTGAAGGGAAGAAAGTAGGAAAAATTTTTTTATTAAAAACTTGTATTGCTTTCATCACTTCCCAAAATAAAACACAAACTGTACTTTCTTGAATTTCAAAATGATTTTTCTATATTATTATCAACATCGGCCATGGTCACAAGATGAGGCTGAAAAGTTCTCAGTCCAAAAAGTGTTTCTAATATAAAATTTGATATTTAATTATTATGGCAGATTTTGGGAAGTGGGTCAGGCTGATAACTTTACAGCACTCTTATAAATGTGTTAACAGAGGAGGAAATGAAAGGGAGTAAATGAATAGAAAGAAAACAAAAATCAGAGAAACAATCAAAGAAAAAAATTAATCACAAAAACTGTATAAAGATTTAGTCAAAAAAAATTTTCTTGTCTTTGATTTTAGGTTGTGATAAAAAACAACAACAAAAACACCAAAATTAATAGTTTGAATAAACCAAGTAGCAATATTGAATTTTGAAAAATTCAGAGGACTACTGAATACAAGGTAAATCTGCAAATGCACTCAAGATAAAAGTTGTCATAATAAATAAGCACTACTTTTTATTACTGTGGTGGTAAATAAATAATATTTATACATATATATAAAATAATATATATATATATATATATATATATATATATATATATATAAAGGTATTTCTACAGATTTATGTTAAAGGTTTAAAATGAATTTTTAAAAATGAAAATTTTTTCATAAGACAATAGCGTCTATAATATATCTTATTCATAAAAGCAATTAGAAGTTTTTCTAATTAAATAATGTCTTAGTTTTATAAGATTTTTTATTTTATGATTCAGAACAGACTTTTGGTTACTGAGGGGAGGGTCATGTTTTACAAAATGAAATGAAAGCAACTTTCCAAACAGCCGACCTAGTAATTGATTCAATGACAGGTTTTATTATTATTTATATTATATTTATTACTATGGTAATAAGTAATATATAATCAAACACATTAAAGAGAAAAACTGTAGTAATAAATAGAAAAATTCACTGAGAATCTATAAAATATTCATGAAGGATATCTCTCTAATCTTTGTTCTTGTCATCTATATACACTGTTTAAAAATAAAATTGTAACTTCAGAGTGAAATACAATGACAATTATCACCTGGGTACAGCATGTATATGCTAAGAATAGTGGATTTTCAAGGTTTTCACCTATATTGTGATATCAGTGCACTATCTGTATCTAAGACTTAGAGGATGACACATGTTGTGATAAGGTTCAGTTTGGGGAAAGAGTCAAGTACCAAGTACTTTATTTCCCATTTGCCAACCCTCATGAACCTCAGTCATAAGATACAGGTAATAACAAACCCCTGACATATGAGCCTACAATTATCATTCATATGTAATAAATACCATATATCTTGTTAATATCATACCATATATATTGATGGCACACAGATAAAGGCATAGTAGTTAGTTCTGACTATTGAAAATAAAAACAGCTGACACCACCTTTGTGTCTAAATACATTTATTGTATTCCCTGCTTTAATAATACAAATGGATAGTTAATAATATATTGATATACAGTAATAATGGACTGTGGTAGTGACTGTGCAAAAGCAAAACCATGAATGCAGTCCTGAAACATTACCTGGCAGTGGATGTAAACATGTTATGTGTTGAAACACTTTATGGTGGCAAGTGTGAGTGGCTTCTGATCTGAATAGGCATAACATTGGATTAAACTATTGAAAATCTAATTAATAATAAACTTAAGGTTATTATTAATTAATTTTAATAGTGTAATAATATTTTCAATAATTTTAATATTTAATAATAAGTTCAAAATGTGATAATTTGTTATCTCACAGAAAATAAATGATACCATAGAATTGCCAACTTCGACTTGATAGTACGGTAAGCTATTAAATCCTGAAATATATTTTTCTCAAAAAATACCTTGCTAAAGGGTACATCTTATTACTTGTAGATTCTTAGCAATTAGGAAATGAGGTATGTGCTTATTTTGTTCTGTTAGAAACTATTTTAGAAGGATTGGATTGTGGCCCTTCAAGAGGTTGGATAGTCATTTCAGAGAATTGTTGTGTATGCTGAACATTATATGCTTGGCTTAAGTAATATCATTAGATGGAAAGTTTAATGTCTAATTGTTCGCATTATAGACAAACAAATGTTGCTAAATGGCCATAAACACACACACACACACATATATATATATATATATATATATATATATATATATATATATATATATATATATATATATATATAGGATATATCAAAAAGAATTTTTACAAACTTTGGGGTGGGTTTCTGACACCAAAACAAGGTAAAAAATTTATTGTACCTCAACACAGCAACTCATAACAGATGTTCAAAATGCTCTATTTGATTCTTCGCATGCATGTACCTGTTGAATCATTGACTGGCAGACACTTGCAAATACTTCTGATGTGCTGAATGGTTTCACAGGCCCCATCACATGTTGATAAAGTGTCTCTGTATTATTAATGTCTGCGGCTTAAACCAATTGTTTTAGGTGGCCCCACAGATAAAAAGCCAATTTCTTATTTAATTTTAGTAGATATATATTTTTTCTTTTTACTCCATATATTTTGAAAATGTTGTATTATTTGCATATCTGTCAATTTTAAATGACATTTTATGATTATAAAATCTTCTTTAAAAGTTGTTTCAGTCGCTTCTATATAAATTTTATTTTTTCTGTGTTAATTGATGCAGTTGCTTATATATTATATAGTTAGGCATTTCCTATTAAGTGGGCAGTTTTATTTCAACAATTTATTGTTGGCATCTTGTACGTTCTTGTCATTATATATATGTATATGTGCATGTATGTGTGTGTATATATATATATATATATATATATATATATATATATATATATATGTATGTATGTGTATATATATATATATATATATATATATATATATATATATATAACTTGAAAGAGATTAAGGTGGGGTGGATGACTGGGAAAAACTTGCTAGTGATCGCAATAAGTGGCACAGGGCTGTTGTAGAAGGATGTAAGTCAGCAGAGGAAAAGAATTTAGAATATGCAGCACAGAAAAGGGATTTGAGAAAAGGTATTACCACGAACTTGCATGAAATGTGAGACATTGGGTCGTTTCCTACTATCAAAAGCTGGGTATGTTAATCATTTGAAATCACATTAGTGACGACCTCACTCTGTGTTACCTCTATGACCCAGTGATACGACAGGTGTTATCTGCAAGGAAGTATATGAATGAATATCTGGATTGAAGAGGCATATGGTGATGTGCAAGGATGACCTACCACAGCAACACCTGCTTAACACTGAAGACTCTGGAGCATATCTGTCATCTATACTATAGGCCATGAGAATCAGTTGCTGGTTTGAACAGCCACATTCGAAGACATTCAAGAGGAAACAATGACCTAGATTGAATGTAGGTGTTGATGAGCAAGAAAGCAGTCATCCATGAATGTGGGGCAATCAACATATATATTATATTATAGATATTATATTATATATACATATATATATATATATATATATATATATATATATATATATATATATTATAGATATTAAATTATATATATATATAATATATTATACACACACACACTTCCAAAAGTCTTATTGAGAAATTTTCTTCGGAATGTCTTAGTCAAGCTGATAACATTTCAGCATCCTCTCATTAGATTTAAAAACATTTTTGACTTGAAAAGTCAGAAATGGATTAAGTTGAGTATTCGTATCTCAATGTAAGGAACAGTTTTTTTTTTATAGACATTTTAGGATTGAAAAATAAAATTATGACCTGAAGTCTTACTTGTTTGTCAGGTCAGCCATTTCATTAGAATTTCTGGAGTTCATTGTTGCATTTGGGGTGACAGCAATATTGTTGACTTCTGAAAATAATTAAAAATAACATGAAAATATTTAATAATGAAAATTCCAAAATAAATGGAAAGTATCATTTTACATCCTCCTCTGTCACTGTACAGAAGAAGTTGTTAGGATGAAGTTAAAAATATTTCTGTGCTCAAAAGGTTTCTATAAGTTCTTCATGGACATAATACAAGGAGGTGTTGACCAAACATCAGAACCTTTTCTTTTCGTTTTATTTTGGAAAGGCTTCTTGCTATGTGAGTAAGGGTTGGTGACATCAAGAATTTGGCTGTGTAAAATATCACAACTATCTAGGAAGACAATCTTCAACTAACAATGACCTAATAGTCAACAGCAGAGGTTCAAGAGTAACGCATAAACATCTATTGCAGCATTTTTTCAGATCTCCCTTGATATATTTTATGCTCGAAATTTAATTGCACCTTCCCTTGTGATTTTGGTCATCCCCTCATGTTGAAATCTACCTTCCAACTTTTCAAGCACTGATATGATACCAATTTCTTTGAGAAGATAGAAAAATGATATAGACCAAACCATTTGAAAACTTTCTTTTAGCCTTAGCCTGTATTTCCAGATAGATAAAACTCATTTTCTGTTTTCAGTTCCTACAAATGCTTGTTGGTTTTGTTAACATTTAAAAAAATCTCTGAATGAATTTGTAGAATAAATTTATATTTTTCTTTTAAAATGATAAGGAGAATAACAGCATGAAGAGGTTTTTCATGGATTTAGTTTTTTGTTATGGTTTAAAAACCCTTTGTGGATTATTTAAAGCCAAAAAGGAGGAGATGGTAAGAGAAATGGAGACTCAAATGGGGAAAGGGACAGGGAGACTCAATAGAGAAGAGAGGAGGGGGACTCAATAGAGGAGAGGGGAGGGAGACTCAAATGGGGAAAGGGAAATGGAGACACAAAAGAGGAGATGGTAAGAGAAATGGAGACTCAAATGAGGAGATCATAAGGGAAAGGTAAACTCAAAGATGAGAGGGAAAGGGAGATTCAAAGAGGAGGATGGTAAGGGAAAGAGAGACTCAATAGAGGAGAGGGAAGAGAGACAAAAGAGGGACTCAAAGGAGGAGAGGGAAAGGGAAACTAAATAGAGGAGATGTTAAGTGAGGGCCAATAGAGGAAAACGTAAGGGAAAGTGAGACTCAAATGAGGAGAAAGAAGGGAAAGTGAGACTCAATAAAGGAGACAAGAGAATGGAAAAGTATTACCATAAAAATTGACTTAATTAATAATTAGGACATTTTATCTCATTATTGCTTTTTGTCACATTAGCCTGTAAATAAATTGGTTCAGGCATTGTTCATACAAGTCAATCTCTTAAAATATGAGACAAAAGCTCCAGTTTTGTCAGAGGCCCCTTATTTATTCCAATTCCAAATGCTGCATTAACAATCAAAGAATACTCTTTTGTACAAAAGGCAAGTGCTATCTGAAATAATCTGTATTGGTATGCTCAATACATATACAATCTCCTTTGCTTTTGTTGTTCACTGAAGACATTTGGGTTTAGAATCAAAAGATGAATGAGACAAGAGTTCAGAATTTTAGCTTTTATTTCCTAGTATTTACATTTAGATGTGTTTTACAACTTAGGACATACCACCTTTTGTTTGAAACCAGCCATTTTTCAAGTGAGCAAATCTACTGAAACACGTGAATGACAGGTGTTTCTTGTTACTGAGGTGTTGCCTTTTAGATTAATTGCTTAAACATTAAATAGCTCTGAAGACTACTCTTGGTTTTAGTCTTGGATTTCACCTGTAAAGATTGTATTTCTTGTTTAAAAGGATAAACCAACATGAAGATGATAGCACAGTCTATGAGAGAAAAGCAAGCCATTTTGAAGTAAAGGAAGGAAAATCTATCAGAGCCTTTGGACAAACATTGGACATAACCAAAACAATAATTTGGAATGTTCTGAAAAAAAAAAAGAAGAAACAATTTGTGTACTGAATAACAGACATAGAACAGGTTGGCAAAGGAAAACAACAGCAATTGATGACAGGAACATTATTAGAACTGTGAGGAAAAAAAACCAAAACACTCAGTAACATCACCAACAACCTCCAAGAAGGTTTCACAATCCACTGGTCAAAGAAGAGTTTAAGAGCAGAAATATAGAGGCGATATAAACAAGATGCAAACCCCTTATTAGCAGTAACAATGGGAAGACCAGACTAGAATTTGCAAGGAAGTACAGTGATGAACAAGAAAAGTTTTGGAAGACTGTTCTATGCACTGATGAAACCAAGATTAATCTCTACCAAAGTGATGGAAAAACCAAAATGTGAAGAAAGAAAAGGTCTGCTTATGATCAAAAGCATACAAGCTCATCTTTAAATCATGATGGAAGCAGTGTCTTGGCTTGGGCTTGCATGTGCTACTTCCGGAACAGGCTCATTCATATTTATTGATGATATAACTCCTGATGAATCAGAAGTCTATGGAAACAGGATGAATCCAGAAGTCTATGGAAACACTTTGTCTGCCAATTTACAAAGAAATGCATCCAAACTAATCAGGTTGAAGTTCATCATGCAGCAGGATGATGACTCAAAGCATACTGCCAAAGGACTTCATCAGGGGAAAAAAGTGGACTGTTTTAGACCGGCCAAATCAAACACTAGACCATAACCCAATAGAGCATGCATTTCATCTCTTGAAGAGTAGACTGAAGGAAGAACCACTCCCTCCTCCAAAACAAACAAAAACTGAAAGAGGCTGCCTGAAAAAGCATCACAAATGAAGAATGCAACAGTTTGGTGACATCAATGGATTGCAATGCGTTAGCTTCATTTTTATCTATTTTACTAATTGCCTCAGTTTCTTTTATGATTCAAATCTACAGCACATGAATACAAAGATTACTAAATGGAACAGACTGTAGCTGAAATCACACACTCAAAAAAAAAAAAATAAATAAATAATCAGCTAAAAAACTATTCATTAATTTAAAGATACCATGAAGCAGTGTTGAAAAGTTTTTGGTTGACTCAGAAGAATATCCTCAAACTATGAAACACACATTCTGTTCCATATATTCCATCTGAAATTCAAGATATTTAGCACATCATTTCTCAAGAAATTTTTTTAACCCTTACCAAAAATTCTGATGTTTGGTCATTAAAATACTTATCTTGAAAAGTGGGTTGAGCTGATAATTTTTCAGCATCCGGAACATTAATTAATTCTAGCTCTATCCCAAAATAGTTGTTACATTTAGTATTTGAAATGTATATGGAAATGTTGCAATTATTATAGGACAAAGGTAATACTTTGCAAAGACCTGCAGATAGGGCCACCGAGAGTGGTTGACTCCAGAACTGGAGTTGACTAGGATTCCAAATGAGATCCATGTACAATAGACGAGCAACCGTTTTTTACATTTACAATTCTTAATTAAATTTTTGCACAACAAATTAGTTTTATTATTTAAGTTGCTTTCACAAGGGTCTACGAGGGTGAGCTGAAATCTTCATAGGCTGATTATGAAGGAGTGATGCTAGAGCTTTGAAATCTTGCATACATTAATTTAAACTCTTCTTATTGTTTCTTCCCAGGTAAACTGACATCTGACTGTTCAAAGAAAACTTCTTTAAAAGTAGCTAATAGTGACTTCTCTTAAAAATGGAAAAATTTGGCATAGTTGTTTTATCAAGTACCTTCAGAAAAAGAGTTTAGCTCCCAAAGACATTCATGATTACATGGTTGCTACATTAAGGGATGATGCTCCAGCTTTATCAACGGTGCAAAAGTGGGCAACTGATTTTAGGTGGGTAAAGGAAAGTTATCAAAGGTTTGGATGTCTTGCAACTGCCACCACCGAGGAGAACATTGATTGTTTTGACCACAATAATGGATGACAGGTAATTGACTATAAATCAAGTAACCAATGATATGATCATTGAGAATATTCTGTACAATGAACTTGGCTCAATGAAGGTTTCTCTTCAATGGGTTCCATGTCTTCCGACACCTGATCAAAGCCATCATGCAAAAAGCTGACATTGTTTGAGGCAGATTCAACTGGTTTCTTTGAATGTTTTATAGCCCAAGATGAATGTTAGGGTCATCAATTTGAGCCAGAGATAAAGAGACAATACATGCAGTGTAAATACCCATCCTCACCTACTCCAAAGAAGACCATAGTTGTTTCATCTGCAGGGAAGATGATTGCCTCAGTTTTTGGGGATACAAAACACATTCTGTTTATTGACTAAAAGGCCACACCATCGGTGGAAAGTACTATGCTAACTTACTGAGGCAGTTACAAAAGGCTATCAAGACTAAACATCCAGAAAAACTGATGAAAGGGAACTTGTTTGATCAAGACAATGCTTCAGCACACAAGTCCTTGGTTTCAATGGCTGCAGTGTATAACTGTGGCTTTAAACAGGTTGATCACCCTCCTTATTCTCCTGATTTTACTACATGTTCCCCAACATGAAAAAAACACTTGGCTGGGAATCAGTATTGTATGACATCATATCTGCCCATTGATGCCTTTTTAACCAACATTATGAACAGTCAGAGGTCAGATTACCTGGAAAGAAACAATGCCATTACTAATAAGAAATGTTGAAATTAATGCATGCAAAATTTCACAGCTCTAGCATCATTCCTTCATAGTCAACCAATGAACTTTTTAGCCCACCCTTACAGATAACAGAGAGTGAGACTATTTTTATATCAACTAATATAATAATCTTCTGAATATCAACTAATTGACTAATGTAATAATTTTCTGTCTGAATTTACAGGATGAGGAGTTATTATTTTCATTCAGACTAATGTTTTCATCATTTTTGTTAGTATATAATACTAATTTTGTATTATTATTTTTTTATTTTTTGTTGGTCCTTGGGTTTACTGTCCTATTTCTCTTGATGGGCCTGCCTGCACTAACAAAAATGTATCCATAAGGTTAAAAATTAATCTCATCATTTCCATTTTGAATTTAAAGTAACATCATCAGTAAATTGCAAAAGATATTTCAGCTTGTAGCTGTAGCAATATTAACACAATGGAAATCAGCTTTTGGAGATAGCATACGGTAGGTTTTGGATATTTGTACTGGTGGTGGTTGATTTTGTACTGGTGGTGGTGATGGTGGTTGATTTTGTAGTGGTGGTGTTGGAGGTGGTGATGTCGGAGATGGTAACAGATTTAGTTTTGTTTTCAATCTCTTAACAACAATTTTCTGCTTGGAGAGCTGAACTGTTGAGGGGACAGTAAGACCTGCTTTGAAAGAAAGAAACACATTCATTATATTAAAAAAACAAAAGAAATCAACAGATATATTTGTTTATCTCTATTTACAGTGTGTCGAATGTTTCCATTAAGATTATCTGAAAATATTTCTTCCATTTTTAGATCATTTATGCTTGCCAATGTCAAAAGGGTTTTTATCCATGCAGAAGAATTTTCACATTTTTAAAGTATACAGGTCTTCCTAATGATATTATCAAAAATTCCCTGACTATTCACAGATCAAATGATTTGGTCATACCAATGTACCTTTTTCCATAGATAGTGTTTAAGGAGACAATGTCTGACAACTCTTCCCCCAAAGATATTGTACTGTCACAATTTTCCTTATTATACATGGATCTATTAAGGATTTTGCCAGAATAGAAAAATGTTATTTTAGTGTGCTTATGTGTTTGATAAGATGTCCTTGTTTATTTACATATAATAAACTTACTGGCCTAGATTATTAATAAAAAAAAAATAAAAAAAAGATGTACTTCTCAGTAGGAATTGAACCTGCATTTTCATTTTTCTGGGAAACCAATATTTAGATAAATATGCCATTATTTTTTCAAACATAAAGGTCCTCACAGCAAGGTAAGGCACAACTACCCCTTTTAAGGAATGCCCATCTCTCACCGAATCCCTTCGATTTCTTTATCTAACATATATTTTCATATCCAAAACATAAAAAGTAATTCAGGTAATTAATGCATTATTTCAATCCAACAATATTTCTTATTAATATAAATGTTGTTTCAATGAGTACATGCATTTGAGTCTTCATTATAATTACTTGTTTAAATGCCACGGAAGGTGACTCTTAAGCTCATTATTAAATCATTTCTATTTATAGAATTTTAAAAATTTAGAAAATTTTCTTTTCTTTTTTATTATATACATAAACAAAACATGCTAAAATTGGATCATTATTATTGGGGAAAGGAAGACTCAACATTATTAAGTTGCAAACTGGACTTGAAAATATCTTATTCTTCAAGTTAGAAAAGTTTAGCAGTACAGCTGTAAAAATTCTCAATACTATGGACTATTTTTATAGTGTTACAGTAATAAACAAATAAATAAATACACCGACAAATAAGTGGATGAGAAGAGAGAAAATTATTATTCCTCATCATTATTTAGCCACTTATATCTTTTTTCCCACCAAGAGATGACTTAAATATTTTGTATTTTATTCAGAAATTGAAAAAATGCCAAATATTCATGGTAAGTAAAAAAGTATACATTTATGACAAAAAAAGAAACAAAACAAGCTTTTTTTACTTCTGAACATATTAAGTCTTGTAATGACCAGATCATATTTTCATTAAAATCATATTTGTTAATGATTTCTTGGAGGAGTTTTCCCAAAGATGAACTAAGAAAGCCATGCTCTTTTTTTAAACTATTTCTATAATTAGTTTAAGACCGATTGCCTGGTGCAAAATACTATGTTGCAGGAAACTAGTATGTTTGGGTAGAGATAAGTCATCATTATGTTTTACTTTTAAGAATCAACACTTTGGATATTAGATATTTATGGGATCCTGGAATATTTATCCTACAAACAATATTGGTGGACTCAATATGAGTCTGGGTAAAAATAAAATCCATGGGATATAATACAAATGGCAATGCATGTTATTAACAAAAATTACATGTGTATACAATTGTATATTGAAAGGAAAAAATATTAAAACTAGCTATAAGAAGAATGTGCTTGTTTGTGTGTGTGAAACAAGCATGTATACGTGTGTTTGAGAGAGTTCAAAACTCAACAAAGGGCCAAGGAAGTGAATGTGCCTCAGCAGCAGCATTCCTTATCAATATTAACTATTTGAAAGCAAGAAATGAAGAGTTAAAAAGGAGAAGCAGGTATTTTGGCAAGTCCAAATCGGGTAACCCACAACTCATTCAAGAATGTTCTTGAATACCTGAAATTTTCTAAGTTCAGGAACTTGCAGTATCAATAAAACCCATCTATTTTAAACACCTGATATGATGTGAAAAGTAACAAATAACTTTCATAATTCCTAATAAAATACTTTATATCATACAAAGAGATAGATATTTTAACTATGATTATACTGAGTTAATAATTTAAAAGCAGTAACTCAGTTGTTTTCAGATGGGTTTATGCTATCAATCAGTCTTAAATTGGCATAAGTCCATAAGTGGGATTAGAACAGAAAGAAAGAGATGAACATGCCTTTTTTTTTTTTCAAACTCTCCCTTTCTGCATCTTGGTTTTGTGGTTAAAATGATAAGCACGTGACTATCAAAGAAACTGGAATCCTGACTTTTTCAAGGCATTAATAAAATGTGACAAGAATTTCTGGGATAAGGAGTTATCATTATTTATACTATTTATATTTGAACTATTGTCTTCATCTTTGTTGTTGTTATCACATTTCAGCCATTATGTTCTCTGGTCTTCCTCAGGTGTATATTGATTTGAGTAACCTACAGGGAATTACTTTTTTCCACTGCCCATGTCTATGGATATCATCTAGTTCTTATTTATAGTTCAGTTATTGCAAGTACACACTCTTTGATCCAGAGATTGAAATCACAACCACTATCTCACCAAATTCATAAACCAATGCTTTAATCCACTAGGCTATTATCTCATAGGACAATTTGCTGGGGGGAGTCTTAAACCTAACCTGCCTGTTGATTAATGTTGCATTTGTACCTGTTGAAATGTGATAACAACAACAACAAAGATGAGGACAATAGTTTGAATATAGATATGCAAATAGTGACACAAGAAGTGTCTAAGTTGACACTAAGTTGTTCAAGCTTAGAACACTGTTTACTAAAAGCCATGATGATAAGCAATTGAAATATGAAAGAAATATTAGTCAGAAATTAATAATAGCTAGTAATTCTTCAGCTAATAAAAGTTCAAGATAATATAGTAACACTAATACTGCTAGTCATAAGTAAGCAAAACTAAATTCAAAAATGGTGGCACTGAGAAATTCAAGAATAAAAAGTCTATATGGTTAGATTTGATCTTCAACAAATTGTAGTCATAGCGACTGTTACAGTAAGATAGACTTCTTAAAATAGAAGGAGTGTGATTATCAGTCTTACTGAGTGCTTATTCTTTATTTCTAATTATACTAACATTAGAATGATTGTCAGTGTCATTTTGATAAAATTAAGATGAAAGAAATATAAGACAACAATTAAGGATTCTGAAAGTTAATTGAACTACTGAATTTTTTATATTGCTTTTCTTGTAATCACAATGTTTCAACTGACCCATTCTATAGCCTTCTTGAGATGTATAATCCATAAGAGAGGGAGTATCTGAATGGTACTGAACAGAAAATAAATACCTCAAGAGAGAAAGAATTAGAGAACATTCCTATATAAGAATAAACATGACTAAATAAGCAAACCCCCAAAACATGGGCCTGAGTAGCCAAAAAGAAAACCTCCCTAAACTCATCAGAAACAGTGCTCAATGGTCCAGATCAGAAAACCAATCCAGAAGGGAGTGAGAACATATTCTAAGAACAAAAATGCACAAGACTTCCCTGTGACTGTTATTTTCATATGTAAAGTGATCATCAAACAGTTCAATATTTAAAATGAAATCAATTGTGTGGCACATATTGCTAGAAAAACCTTTTTTGGGTAAAATCTCATTGATAGCTCTCCTAAGAATATTGCTTTTCACCCAGCACTTTTTGGAGTCATATCAATAAAACACACAATATGTGTGTGTGTGTGTGTGTGTGGATATGTACACACACATCTATAAATGAGTAGAGCTATAAACAATTCAATACAAATCACTAACCAACAGGCATGCAAAGATGGTAAAAAAGAGTGAATGGATTAGAATTCTTACCTGTAAATGTGGATGATTTTTTAATGAGTGGAAAACGGTTTCTAGTCTTGTGGCCATTAATGTCAGTTGACTGTCTGCATTTTAAATGCCGCAGGACTGGTTCTGAAAAAGGCAATGGAAAAAAAAACATCATTAAATATTAATATGCATCTTTTAATGCATCATGATAATGGCTCTCTAGAGACCTGTTTCCTTTTTTATCTGTGAATTGCCATGATTTTTTTGGAAAGATACTAGAGTGGTTTCCCATTCACATCTCCACAATTTTCAATTCAGAGTAGTTCTCTTCTCTAGGTTGGCTACCCCCAAAGTGACAGAGCCTTGTCTACTATATTATTTAACTCATAGCTGGGTAGAGAAGTGAGGAATTTATGCCTTTCCGAAGGTTGAAATTAAACACAACAGATTAGCTTGGAATTTGAATTTGGCTCTCCAATTTCATTTCCTGTGTCAATATCAATTATGCCCAATTAATTACTGTATATCCATGATTAACCACCTTAAATGAAAATTCACTGATGAAGTCATCTTCATTTGCTGAATTTGTAATTGGTATATTGGAGCAGCTGCAATGTCTCTTCCTATCAACATATAAATCTTCTACCAAATTAAATTTAGCTTTTTTTTTTATAGAAGCTTGAGTGGAACTACAAAAGATAAATTGTTTATTTTCAAGCTTAAAAATTTATTTTTAATCAAATTATTATTTTAGCTGATATCTTTATTTCTAATATGCATTTTTATAAATGTGCATGTCTATACAAAAAAAAAAAAAAAAAAAAATCAAAAAACTGAAATTGAGCATTTTATTTATTCCACTTTATTCACGATTTTATTCAAGTCTAATTCAGTCAAATTTCATAAATTAGACAAATAAAAATTTGAATTTACTCTTCTTGGAACGAATAGTCTGCAAATAATTAACGCATCTTTTTCTACATAATTTTTTTCATATCCTTCAGGATATGTGAATAATCATGGCTCTCAACAATAAAACTCACTCCTTTATGACTCCATTTTCTACTTGTCATATTTGTTTCTCTATTGAAATTGTCAAAATTTTTCTAATATGTTACTTTGTTTTTATCTGCTTCTTCAAGCTTTCTTTTCTAATGATATATTTCCCAAATTGCCTCTATTATGAACCATTTCTTTGTGTTCTTATTTCTCTTTGAACTTCCTCATTTCTCACATACTCTATCCATGTTAGCATTTGTTAGTATAGCCATATCTCTCACTTCAATTATTTTTCTCATTCATGATAAAATTGTCCAGATTCTCTGCCATATGAGAAGGTAGCTATTGCAAAGGAATCAAGCACTATTTTCTTATTTAAATTGGACCAGTGCACCCACTTGATGGTTCTTAGGGCACAGAACTCAACAGGAGGTGAGGGTCTTGCTGGGAGGCTATATATTTTAGACACCATATAGTAACATAGAGGATAGTGGGGTTATAAATGGTGAATATATATACAGTCAATGATAAAATTATTCATACATCCATCAATTTTGAATATTTTTCTCCATTTTCTCATAATCTTTCCATTTTGTAATACTTTATTCAGTTTTTCAAAATTGAATTTCACTTTTTCTGTTTCATGCTTTCTGTTGTCTGTTATTATATTGCCTTGATAGTTAAATTTACACATTTTTTCCAAATTTAATTAACATTACTCATCAGATTTTTACAACAGCTTTCTAAGATCAAAGATTAAAAAAAGGCTTTGAGTGAGTGGCTAAAACCATTCTTCATTGAACATTGTGGACTGGCACTACAGAAGCTGAACTGTATCAAATAACAGTAACCACATCACTTGAGGACTTTCAAGAGCGGCAACAGCTAAAATGGATATCACATATAACTCAAAGAGAAAATAATGACATAATCAAAATACTGACACTCCACACTACTTCAAATAAAAGGTTAGAAAAGAAATCCCTCATCAATACTGGAAAGAGCAATAACAGCTACTGGACTTAAAAAAAACAAACTATTTTACTGAAAAATTGTTTTAATTGTTTTATAATTTTCAACCATTACTGGCTGCTCGGTCAATGGATGCTGAATGTTTCCTTATAAGGAAATGGCTAATATTATAATATTACAAATTTTTCATCTTGTTAATTGTATAGTTATTTTTATTGATTTATTTATTCATTGATTTAAATAAATTTATTTCTCTTTACTTCAAAACATTAAAATTCCTATATTTACTTAGACCATTTATTTTATCCTGCTAATAGAGTAAGTAAATTGTTCAAATCTTAGAAAAAAACTGTAGTAGCCTTTGGAGAGGTATCCAAAAATGAAAAAATAATGACGATTTTATATATATATATATATATATATATATATATATATATATATCATGACCAAGCCAGTGAACATGACATCAAGTGATGGGGCAAAGGATGTTCAACCCGGATGGTTCTCTGGCAGAGTTCCTCATTGGACACAAGATTGACCAGTGCACCCACTTGATGGTCCTGAGGGCACAAAACTCAACGGGCGGCGAGGGTGAAAATTGTTCAATTTAATATATTTTTTATACTGTATGAATAATTTTGTCTTGTCCTATTTTGCATAATTCGCCTGTCAAATTTGTTTTATTTAACCTATTGTTCTGAAAATTGAGTTTTATATTCCCTTTTTTGTGCTTATTAACATATAAAAAACCTGGCATCATATGGGCATTAGATTATGAAAAATGGATAAAAATATCCCAAATTGATGGGTGTACAAATAATTTCATCATTGACTGTGTGTGTGTGTGTGTGTGTGTGTGTGTATGTGTGGAGGGTGGGGCAGTGCTGGTAACAACAGAAACAGAAATCCTAGCAGTAGCCCCTATCATGGTGAGGCTGTAGACCTCTTCTACAGCAGAGGGGGAGTCTAATGCTATTGTGTAAGATGAGAAAGTGGTGTTAAAGACTAACAAAAGTTTTTTGACAAGTTTATATAAAGACAACTTTATCCTAACCAGTTTTAGTTACAAAAAAAGAAAAAAATGAGAGTCAAAAGAAAATGTCTTTTTTACCCATGTCATCTTTCTCATCATCTGGAATGGAAACGCCACGAGGTTTCATAGAACCATGTGTCCTGAAATAAAGAAACTAGAGAGTGATTGGTTTTTGTCAAGACTGACAATGAAAATAACAGTTTTCTGCTGTTTCTGTCTGACAAATTGACGTAGAAGAAATGGCTCACTATTTTTCATCAAGTATCATGACATGTCAGTGATAAAACATTTTGTTATGATATCTAGCAATGTAACAATATGCAGGTATAAGTAGGTTCATATCTTTATTAAAGGAATTAATACAAGGTGAATATAAACAATCATTGTGGAATTTACTTATTGAGTTATAAATTACTGTAATCAGATGGTATATAAGATTCCAATAATTCATATTTCATATTACAGCATAACAGAGTTGGCTTACATACAAGTATTAAAGTTTGAAACATTTTGTAAAACTGACCAGTAGAATAAACAGCAATATTTTCAACAATAGAATTCATGCAGGTAGCAGTATGAAAAAACCATCTTATTTTCCTTATATACCTTTGAGTTTCAAATAAATGGACTTGGACACCTTTATTCCAACCACACCTTTTATTAAATATTCAGGAAATTTCCTCCTACCCATTAATTTTGGCAGCAAGCAATCTAGGACAAAGTGTTTCATTACTGAAAATTTAATAAAAAATTTTTTAAAAATTCCAGTTCCCCAATTTGTTCCAACTGCCCAATTTATTTGAAATTCAAATATGTGTGTGTGTGTGTGTGTGTGTGTGTGAGAAGAAAGATGGAATTAATACATCTGTAACACAAAAAAAAAAAAAAAAAAAAAATGAAAGACTTGTAACTGGGTTTCAGGAGGACATGAACCCTGGAACAGAAATTGGAAGTGATTTGGAAGGAAATGAGAAGTCATGTTGATAGCTGATGAATGATTAATGTATTTTCAAATGTCTGGGTTTAATGTGAAATAACTTTTGGCCATAATGGTGTTGGTGTGCTGATATGTGGCACTTGGATATGTTTTTGTTATGAACTCCACCTGGGTGGTCACAGTGTTTATTTGAAAACTGATAAGGACAAAATTAATTTAAAAAATGAGGACTAGAGAGAAACCAGATGTCTGTTTATTTGTGAAAATCATCTGCAATTTTTATAATTATCATTATTTCGAATTTTTGGTGTTAAATCCTTCACTGGTGGGAGAATCATCTAATTAATTTATATAAATATGGAGATAATGAAATGTTAGCTATGAGTATTTTAAATTGTAATTTTCTAGGGCCTGGCTAGGTAAAGTGAAGTGATTAATTGTTGTTATTGCTAAAGATTTTCCTATATAAGCCAGGATGCATTTTTCTTTGCAGTCACTTACTGTGAGGGGAGCAACAAGCCAGATTCAATTAAACACCTGCATTTCACTGAAAAACAGACACAGTAAATACAGAGAACCATCAACAGTTATTCCGTCAAAGTTAAATTCTGTAGCCTTATTTTTTTCTCTTCAGATTTTGTTTACAAAATGTGTTTGGTTTGTTTATCAAAGAACTTTTCTCCCTCTCAAGCCAACCATCAGCAACTCAATTATAACCAGCAACCAGAAGTAAAGGAAGAAAATGATTTTCTAAAGGGGAACAATGACAGATCAAACAGACAGGTGGAACTGGGAAAGGCCTAATCTCTGCTCAAATGAGGCAGGACAGAGAAGTCAACCAGCCTTGGTGCTTGTTCCTGGCGTGATGTAGTTAGCTGATACTGACAAATTACCTGATCCTCTGGTGCAGCAAACCAGTTGTGATTGAGTGCCGTGAAAAGCAGTTGATCACACCCCCAGCCATCCTGTTAAAACCTCATTAATAAGTATAAATCTTGCCTCTATTGAAGAATAATATCAGTAAATCTTTTTTCTACTGCCAAAAAATCTTAAGAAATCTGTAAACTCCTCAAGAGTAAAACAAATCAATAAAATTCTAGACTAAATGTGGAAGGAAATCAATATAAAGAAGAAATAATGAAAAAAATAATTAATCTCTCAGCTAATGAAGAGAACAGGCATTTATTTTACACTCCACAACAAATACTTATTTTTTTAACATAATTTTGTT